GCCCCTGCCCCCACTCCTGCCCCTGCCCTTGCCCCTGCCAGCACTGCCAGCCCTCTGGCTGGGACTGGAGTGGCTGTGCAGGCTCAGGAGGCGCTAATCCCTTTGCAGCCTCTAAACCTGGCGGGGTAATCCCCACTGCGCCTCAGCCCCCGAGGCCTCCGCCTGCGCCCTTATCTGCTGCTCTCAGGAAGTGCCTGCAGCTCACGTGCCGAGTGAGAAATAGGCAGTGGCTTCCAGTCGGTAAAGACGCAGGCGGAGTCCTTGCCTCTTTCTGTAAGCCATGCTGCTCTGCCGGCGGGAGAGTTCATTTCCTGCCACGGGCCTCAGGGCCTCGGGTGGCGTGATGGTACACACGTGTGATTACAGTTAATGACTATGATGGTAGCCCCATGTGTGATTATAGTTGGTGACTACATGATAGTAGCATACACGTGATTATAGGTAGTGGCTACATGATAGTAGCACACATGTATGACTTTAGTTAGTGGCCACATGATAGTAGCCTGCAACTATGGCCTTAGCTAATGGCCACATGGTAGTTAGTAGCCTGCACGTATGATGTTAATGGCCACATGGTAGTTAGTAGCCTGCATGTATGGCCTTAGTTAGTGGCCACATGGTAGTTAGTAGCCTGAACGTATGGCGTGCGTTAGGGGCCACATGGGGCTGTAGGTCAGCGTACCGCTGCCTAACAAGCACCACGGAGCTCGGAGCTCGGAGCATTTCGCTGTCTCCTGTTGGCTGGGATTGGCTGGTAGGAGGGGGCGTGTCTGGCTCAGTTCCAGTCGCCAGCTGGGTCCATCCTCCCAGGAACAGTGGCTCTCCATCCCTGCTCCCATGGCAACGGCACAGTCTGCTCTGCCGGGCAAGGGCGATCCAAGCCTCTGCCTGTTTCGCAGCTGCTGACACCCGTGGGCAAAGCGAGTGCCATGGCCCCAGGCAGAGCCAGGAGCAGGAGCGAGGCACCCCTCCGGGCGACGGGCTGGGCCGCCGTCAGGGGCACGGAGCAGGCAGGCGGCGCAGAGCAGGAGGGTACGATGCGGCTTCCCAGTGCCCTGGTTTCTGAGTGTTGAGACGGAGGTGGTTTATTGAAAGTGAAGGGATTTGGGGGGGAATGCAAGTGAAATGAGAGGTGCCAGGCACAGAGCAGGGGGCACACCAGCCAGGTGATCCTTCCTGGGATCTGCTCTGGGCTGGGTGCAGCTCTCCTGAGAGCCATAGGCGTCTGTCTGGTCAGTGGGTGCCCGCTGCCGAGTGCGTGCCGCTGCGCCTGTGCGGGCACCCTCGCCCGGAACCACGAGGACGCTGCTCTGGGCCTCCAGAACTTGGCGCCGCTGGTCTTTCTCAGGGGAACCCGACCCCAGAGGGTGCGCTCGCCGTGGCTCTGCGTCTCCCGCCCCCTTGGCTTCGAGCACCTTGTTCGCTCTTCGGCCACTTCGTGGTTTCCCGTGTGGGGTGTCGGGCTCAGTGTCCTGCCCGTTAGAACCTATTTACTGACTTTAGAGAGGAGGGAGAGGGAGAGAGAAGCATCAATGATGAGAGAGAATCCTGGATCCGCTGCCTCCTGCACGCCCCCTCCTGGGGACGGAGCCCACAACCCGGCCTGTGCCCCGATCGGGAATCCAACCGGGACCCCCTAGGGCGTGCTCAACCCCCGAACAAGGCCGGCTGGCAGTCTCCTGCCCAGTTTTAGAAATTGGGCCATTTGCCTTAAGTTGTAAGAGGTGTTAAATATATACATTCTGGACGCGGCCCTTCGTCAGGCAGAAGTATCATGCACATGTCCTCCAGTTTGCTTCGTTTTTAAGTGTTTCCGAGGGAAGCGGGTTTTAGTTGGATGAGGCCAGTGACCTGGGGTCCGTCTCCGCGGTGATGGTGCTCTTCCTTCCTGCCGCCGCGTGTTCTAGAAAAGCCTTGTCTGCTTTGCTTCCTGTTCTGGTCCTCAGTCTGGAGGCAGCGTGGGAGCACGCCGTGAGGCAGGGAGCGAGCTTGTGTGGTGGACGTGCCGTCCTCCGGCATCGCCGCTCCAGCTCAGCGGCGTGGAGAGCCGCGACCGCCCCTGCGGCTGCCGCCCTCGTCCCCTCCGGTGTCACGCTGACCTGGAGTTAGGGCGGAGCCCACCACCCAGGCTCCTTCGTGGCCTGGCCGTCTGCTCTCTGGGCGGTCCGTCCTCCGGAAAATGTGGGATTCGGAAGCAGGGTGCTGGGCTGATTCTACAGAAGATGCTGGAGCTCCAGCACGGCTGGCGGGTTCTGCCGAGGAGCCCAGCTTCCGGCCGAGCGTGCCGCCCTCCTCTGCTGGCCACCTGCGACCTCACACCTCTGGCTTCAGAGATTATTGGATCTTTGATTTTTAATGTGATTGTTAGTATTTATTAAAATTCTGTGTTCTAAACTTTTTGCTAACCTATAGATGGCCAATTAATTTTTACATAGCATCATTGTGTTCAGCAATTTTGCTGAAGTTTCCATTTTATATCTAATAACATAGTGTAGAATGTCTCTAATTTTCCACAAATATCATCCTGCCATAGTGAAGTAGTTAGGACCTCTGGTACAGTGCTTACTGGGAGTGGTAAATGCAGCTCTAGGGTAGAGCCAACTGGGCGTGTTTATAGGGTAGAGCCAAACTGGGCGTGTCACATGTAGCTCTAGGGTAGAGCTAACTGGGCGTGTCACATGTAGCTCTAGAGCACATGTGTCAAACACAAGGCCCGCGGGCCAAATCCGTCCCGCCAGGCCTTGCAATGTGGCCCGCACCGCGCTGTCATCACTGCACTCCGCTGCGTTTCCATCACAATGACAGTTTATGACTGTTCAGTAAACCATTCGGCCCGCGATTTAGACTGGATTTTAGATTTTGGCCCCTTCTCTGATTGAGTTCGACACCCCTACTCTAGAGTAATGCTAACTGGGCGTGTCACATGTAACTCTAGAGTAATGCTAACTGGGCGTGTCACATGTAGCTCTAGGGTAGTAGAGCCAACTGGGCGTGTCATATGTAGCTCTAAGGTAGAGCCAACTGGGCGTGTCACATGTAGCTCTAGGGTAGAGCTAACTGTGCATGTCACATGTAGCTCTAGGGTAGAGCTAACTGGGCGTGTCACATGTAGCTCTAGGGTAGAGCCAACTGGGCGTGTCACATGTAGCTCTAAGGTAGAGCCAACTGGGCGTGTCACATGTAGCTCTAGGGTAGTAGAGCCAACTGGGCGTGTCACATGTAGCTGTAGGGTAGAGCTAACTGGCCGTGTCACTAGTAGCTCTAGGGTAGAGCCAACTGTGCGTGTCACATGTAGCTCTAGGGTAGAGCTAACTGGGCGTGTCACATGTAGCTCTAGGGTAGTAGAGCCAACTGGGCTTGTCACATGTAGCTCTAGAGGAATGCTGACTGGACATGGGAATATGCAGCATTACTTCCCGAGGGGCAGGTGTTTAATATCTCACACCCAACTGTTACGATTGCCTGGTGAACAGGAGGTTCGGGAGGGAGCCGAATGCCCCCGGAGGAACCTGCGCTGGGAACCTGGGCGCAGCCCCTCCCAGTGAGAGCCGTGTTTGCTGCCGCACCTTTGCCGTCTGTGCCTTCCATTCCTTTGTGCGGAGCCGCGATTAGTTCTCAGTTACTCGTCCCTCCCTGTCCGATCAGACGTTTCTCTGTCGCTGAGGAAGATGAACACGGCCTGGGCCTGTCGGTGAGTGTCTCAGGCATTCGGTTATTTCCGGCTCGCAGTTGCCAGCTCTCTTCGTCATTCTCATACAGGCAGGAGCGCCATTGCCAATCTCACAGGCTCTATAAAAAGACTGTGTAATTGAAAGTTTCAGCAACAATTAATTCCTTATGCAGACAGAGCCATTGTGCATTCCGTAGCTGCGACGGCAGTGTCAGCGTCAGGCGCAGTGGGACACTTGGGATTCTTCATCCCTCGGCCGCGGTTCCACCGTGCTCAGCCCAGCGAGCCTGTGGACTGAGGCTGGATCGGATTCTCACCTGCCTGAGGGTGACGGCGATGGCGGCGATGCTGGCGGTCCCTGGAGGCAGCTGTGTGCCCGAGGGCTCCCTGCCCTGTTTCCTGGCTGATCGGTTGGCATTTGGGTCGAAGGCCATTGTGGTCGGTAGGAAGCGGGCGTTTCGAATGCCAGGCCAGGCCCTGGGCTTCTTTCGTGTTTTGCACAGGAAATACCCCGAGGAGCGCTCTTCCTCGCCCACAGCTCTCTGCTCCACGTGAGGCCAGGTGTGGACCTGACGCCTGTTTGTGCTTTTATCATCTCGCACTCAGGCCTCCTCTGAAGGGAGGTGCGAGTGAGCATGGGAGGCAGAACTAACTGGAAAGTGATGTGAAAGAGCTTACATTTAGGAATTTATGATCAAACATTGATCACATAACACAAGCCTCACATCCTTTGTCTGAGACGTGTGCTAGCGGGCCGAGACCTGGAGCCTGCGCGCCCGCGGAAACCCAGGCCCGCCTTCCTCACCGTCTCTCACAGCGGCCCAGGGCCTCGGAGGACACAGATCCCTGAGCATCTCAGGGTCAGGAGCCGCAGGACCGCGTGGGTGGTCCCCAGCCCTCAGCCCCGGAGCCTGTGCCCACGGCTGGCGGGGCAGTGTGAGGCGTGGCCTCCGGGGCGCAGCAGAGCGCGCCACGTGGGCTCACCCCGCCCAATGGGTCTCCGGCGCCCGCGCCCTGTCTGCACACGGAGCTGTCCAGGGTGCCTCCTGCCTGTGGAACGCGCTCGTGTGCTGCGAGCAAAGCCCATGGATGCCGCCTCGGACCCTGCCCGCTCCCCGGCCCTGTTGGCTGTTTTTGGAGAACGGCTGAGGAAGAACGGGAGGAAGTTAAATTGGTTCTGGAACGGAACGTGCTTTTCAAGCCCGGAAGAGGCGGTTACGGGGAGCAGGGCCTTCTGCTTGCTGCTGGGCCCTTGCCGCCGGCCCTGCGGGCGAGGGGCCACCTGGGTCTGTGGATGGCCGCACCCGCCTCTGACACCCTCTGTCCCCAGTCACAGACAGCCGAGTGCTGACCTGCGCCGCGGTGTGGAGGATGCCGGAGGAGTCGGAGCCGGGCAGCCACGAGTCCCCCGACGAGGCGTCCAGCACGGCGCACGCCCTGGAGCTGCTGTGTGACCTGGACGGCGCGGGGGCCCACGGCAGCGTGGCCTGGTAGGTTCCGGACCCGTCGCCGTGCAGCGGGCACCCCGCCTCTCCTCCTACCAAGCCTGGCTGCGGGGTGCTGGCGTTCTTGTTGTAGTGCCCGTGGTGCCCAGGTCGGGCACATTACAGAGCCCGGCCCCACGGGATGTCATGAGTCCCGGGCCTGCCGGGGTGGCGCAGGCGGGAGCGGGCTCGGCCCCAGGCCTCGGTGCTAACGTGTGCTCCCCCCTCAGCGTCGTGTGGGAGCCCACGGGCGACGGGAAGCGGGTCGTCTCCCTGGCCGACAACCACCTGCTGCTGTGGGACCTGCAGGAGAGCTCCAGCCGGGCCCTGGTAGGTGTGGTGACCGGGTCTCCGCGTCTGAGGGTTCAGTGCGACTTGTAAAGTGCGTCGGGATCGGTGCACTTCTCGCTCACGTCTTTGGATTCCGACGCTAATGGGGAGTGGGCTGCTGGGCGGGTTGAATTACCCACAGAGAGCTGAGCGGTACCTCTGTCTGGGGAAGCAGCTCAGTGTCGGGCCTCAGGCCGAGCTCAGGTGGACGTGGACTCGGGAACGGACAACGGCCCCTTCGCCCCATCTGTGCGCACAGCAGGGAGACGCCACCGCGGTGTCCCCTGTTCCAGAGCCTGCCCCTCGGGGGGTTAGGCCACCCTCACGGTGCAGACGCCCTTCCCAGCTCCCCGAGTGCGGAGACGACGCTGGGCCAGGCCCAGACCCTCAGCGCACCTCCTCTCGCTCCGCCACGCACAGAGCCCAGGGCGGGTCATCAGACAGAGACGGCAGGCCCGGGGGCCGCGGGCTGGGAGACGGCAGGCCCGGGGCCTGAGGGCTGGGAGACGGCAGGCCTGGGGCCCTCGGGCTGGGAGGCGGCAGGCCCGGGGCCCGAGGGCTGGGAGACGGCAGGCCCGGGCCCCGCAGGCTGGGAGACAGCAGGCCCGGGGCCCACGGGCTGGGAGGCGGCAGGCTCGGGGCCCCCAGGCTGGGAGACGGCAGGCCCGGGGCCCGAGGACTGGGAGACGGCAGGCCCGGGGCCCGTGGACTGGGAGGCGGCAGGCCCGGGGCCCCTCGGGCTGGGACATAGCAGGCCTGGGGCCCGCAGGCTGGGAGACGGCAGGCCCAGGGGCCCGCAGGCTGGGAGACGGCAGGCTCAGGGCCCGGGGGCTGGGAGACGGGCCGGAGGGTCTCCGGTGGAGGCGTGGGCGGCGGGTGCCGAGTCGCTGCTGGTCCGGAAGGTGTGGTGGGCCCCTTGAGGAGCCGGCAGGAGGAGCCGGCGGCCAGTGACGGGGGCTCGGGCTGTGGGCTCAGGCCCGGCTCTGCTGCCTGTGGGCACAGGCACGCTCTCCGGCCCATCCCACGGCGCTCCGCGCTGGTGATTGATCGGTGACTTCTTTCTGCGGAGACCAATTTGGTGCTCTCGGCCCCTCTCCTTCAGCGTCAGCACCCTGTCAGGATCACTTTGTGACCCTGGGCCGCGGCATTTAATACCGAGACCCCGATCGATCCGCGTCTTCACGCCCAGCTCCTCCGTTTTTTTTATTGTTGGAGGATATTGCCTGCTGGTGAGTCTGATCTCGGGCTGGCTGCATCATTACCCTTTGCAATTAAGCTGGAGGTTCCCTGCCATTTGTAATCATTAGCGGAGCCCGGGGAGGCCTGGGGCGGCCCGCCGGGGCCCAGCCCGGTGAAGGCAGAGGGGTGCCCCCCTCCCCCCACTGTGATCTGTGCTCATTCATCTCGGCTTCGGGGCCCTCGCCGGCTGTGGGAACAATCGCTCCTTTCGGGGGCAGCAAGCAGCCCGGCGCCTCCTCCGGCCGCCCAGGAACCCGGCGGGCAGCCTGCCCGCGCCTGGACCTGAGGCAGGGGCGCCTTTAAAAAAATATATTTTCATTGATTCCAGAGAGGAAAGGAAAGCGAGAGAAACATCCATGATGAGAGAGAATCATTGATCGGCTGCCTCCTGCATACTCCACACTGGGCATGTGCCCTGACCGGGAATCGAACGGTGACCTCCTGGTTCCTAGGTCAGAGCTGACCACTGAGCCACACCACCTGCAGGAGCGCCTCTTTGAGGGAGGAGAGTGGTGCCAAGGGTACTAGTGCTTTTAGACATTTCTCAGTTCCCAGTGGAAACCGTGCCACAGGGAGAGAAGGGTGCAGGGGGTGGGGGTATGTGGACAGGAGCCATCACCTGCATCGGACTCCGGCCGCGCCTGGCCAGGAGCCGTGCTGGTCGTGTGGCCGAAGCCCAGCGCCCTCAGCAGGAGCCCAGGGGGACTGCCAGGTGCTGAGTCTGAGCGGGAGGGGAGCTGGGCGGGCTCTGCCGGGCTGGCAGTGGTCACGGAGTGAAGGAGCCATCCTGACGTCCTGTCTGAACGTGCCCTAGAGAGGAGCAGGGTCTCCCCGTTTCTAGTCCGGTCCCCTGCCCTGCCCCTCGCTCCGTGGGGCGCTGCAGGCCTGTCTGTCTCCCGTCCGGACGCTGCCCTGCACTGAGCTGTGAGCTCCGGTGATCTGCGAGGAGGGGCTGGGACCAGGAGTCACAGGACCACAGCCCGCGACAGCGTGTTCACCTCCGTGGCACAGATTTGGGATTGGGGGGGGGCACTCAGACACGCGATGGGGTGCAGCTGTGCCCTCTGCCTGGAGGGACCCCGTGGGCCCCTCGCCCGCGCCTGCCTCTGCCTCTGCCTCTGGGGGCGGCCAGGTGTCTCTTGTTTCCCGCTGTTCCTTCACGTGGAGCAGAGGAGCTCTCATCACCCGCAGCCTGCTCCGTGGCGGCCTGAACACGCTTCTGTTTCTGCTGTGCCTGGCTTTTCCGCAAACGGGGCTCCATGGTCTCTCAGGAGCCGAGCCCGCCCCCCGTTGTCTCGGTGACGCCCCGCTCTGTGCTGGGGTGCATTTCTGTCTCTCATCCCCGCAGCTGGCCGGCTCGGCGGCGCTGGAAGGCAAGGGGCAGCTGAGGTTCACCTCGGGGCGCTGGAGCCCGCACCACAACTGCACCCAGGTGGCCACCGCCAACGACACCGCCGTCCGCGGCTGGGACACGCGGAGCATGAGGTCAGCGACACGCCCGGTGCCTTCCCCACGAGGCCGATGGAGCGGATGGGTTTGGGGCACGTGGCTTGTCTGTCTGCATCGCTTTGTCTCCTGTTGTGAGCTGGTGTCGTGGCCGTGGCCGTGGCCGTGGCCGTGGCCGTGGCTGTGGCCGCCGGGGCTCCGTTGGCTGTTCGGAGCCGCACGTGGGCCCTCGGCTCTGGCGGTTAATGAGAGGAAGGTGGGCTGCGGAGCCGCCGCCTGCTCCTGCCCCCTGGGGTGGGGACCATGAGGGCAGCCGTGGCCCCGGTGGCAGGTTCGTGGCCACCGTTTCTGTGCTGTCGGTGACAGGTTGCCGTTTCCCTCAGGAGGGGCAGCAGCCTGCAGTGCCGGGGGAACAGGCAGGAGCGGTTTCCGTTCCAGGTGGGGACCGGTAGGCTAGCAAGTGATGGAGCCTCGTCTGTTGTCATGGCGACAGAGCCCTGCGAGCCTCCGAGCAGCGGTCCCCTGGCACACGGCACCGGTCGCTGAGCTGGGACGACGCTGTCACCAGTGACAGGCTTGCCTTCCGGGTGGGCGGCTTCCCGTGGAGTCCCAGGCCCCTGCAGACCCTGCGCCTGCGCCCCTGACCCGCCCGGCCCCACCTGCTGCTGCTCGGGTCACCGTTCTGCAAAGGGAGCAGAGCTGCGGGGTCTGGAGGCGGGAGGCCCCAGAGCAATGGGCAGACGCCTGGCAGGCTGGCCGCGGCCTGCGGGAAAGTGCCTGTGGTGTCGCCCCGAGTGGTGTGGGCGGGTGACAGCATCCAGCCTGGCAGCTCCCCACCTGCCCGGGACCAGCAGCGCTCTGCGTCCCTGTCCTGCCCTGTGTCCTCCTCGCCGCATGCTTCCCAGACGTGTCCCGTGTCTGGCCCAGCCGTGTCTCTGCTCCATGGCGGACGCAGGCCCCTGCCCCTCGTTCCCAGGGACCCGGCACGTCTGACAGCCAGGCCAGGTCCCTCCCCCGGTGCTGCCGGAGAGGCCGCGGGGGGGCGCCGAGGGGGGCGCCGGCTCCCTGGCCTCCGGAGCGGGCACCCAGCTGGCTGCCCGGGCCTGGGCGCCCCTCACGCTCGAGCGTCTCCCCAGCCAGATCTACTGCATGGAGAACGCCCACGGGCAGCTGGTGCGGGACCTGGACTTCAACCCCAACAAGCAGTACTACCTGGCCTCCTGCGGGGACGACTGCAAGGTCAAGTTCTGGGACACGCGCAACGTCACGCAGCCCGTGGCCGCCCTGGAGGAGCACTCGCACTGGTGCGCCCGCGGGGGATGGGGGTGGGGTGGGGTGGGATGGGATTGGGGGGTTGGGGGTAGTGCGTTGTGCTGATGGCCTCGCCACTCGGAGGGGCACACAGCTTATTGTTCCCAGTGTCTGTGAGGTGGGAGGGCGGGGAAGGAGGGAGGCGCTGGCTCAGACGTCAGGGAGGAATGTGCTCAGATGCTCACAGTGCCCCCGGGATGGAGGGCATAGCTGAGGGGCACTGCCCAGCGTCAGCCCGGGCAGTTCGGGGTGGGTGCTGGGCGACCCCGGCTCCCTGACCGGGGGTCCCCGCCCTCAGGGTGTGGAACGTCCGCTATAACCACTCGCACGACCAGCTGGTCCTCACGGGCAGCAGCGACAGCAGGGTCATCCTCTCCAACATGGTGTCCATCTCCTCCGAGCCCTTCGGCCACCTGGTGGACGACGAGGACCTGAGTGACCAGGAGGAGCGCCGCCCGGAGGACAAGTAGGAGCTCCTTTCCGCTCGGCACGGTGGGCCCGGCCAGGCTGCGGCCTCCCGCACGTGGGTGCCCAGCGGGCTTCCTGAGAAGGAGAGCTTAAAGGGAGGCACCCTGAACGGGGCCCCGCCCTCCCCCCCGTCCCCCGCCAGGACCGCCCGGGGGCCAGGACTGGCTGCATGGCCCGGGCCCAGGTCCCGCAGCTCAGCGTCATGGCCAGGGTCTCCTCCTCGTTTGTTGGCGTCGTTTCCATCCCCCGGGATGTTCCCTGTTACCTCGAACCAGGGCCCCGCGTCGATCACGCCAGCGCCTGCCGTCCCGGCCGCAGGGACAGGCCCTGTCGGCTAACGTGGCTCCACGGGGTGGCTCCACGGGGTGGCTCCACGCTCCCACGGCCCCCGAGCCGACGAGCAGCTGGCCTGGCCTCGCTCACACGTGTCTGGTCCCCCCAGGAGCCAGGAGCCCCCGCAGGACGGCGTCATCGCCACGTACGAGGAGCACGAGGACAGCGTGTACGCCGTGGACTGGTCCTCGGCCGACCCCTGGCTCTTCGCGTCGCTGAGCTACGACGGGCGGCTGGTGATCAACAGGGTGCCCCGCGCGCTCAAGTACCACATCCTGCTCTGACCGGGCCCGGCCCGGGGACGACAGCGAGGGGCCGGCACAGCGCCCGCAGCCGTCCCCCTCGCCGAGCGGAGACCTCGGCCTCCGGACCCGGCGCCTGCCGCCGGCTTGGCCCTTCTCTCTCCTTCGGGGACAGCGCGGCTTGTTCACTTAAAAAAAAATCTTCATTTCCATGGTGTTAACTCGTCTTTCTCCTGAGATAAAAATGGAATAAACAGGCGGGCTCCTGCTGGTTGTCTCACTCCTGTCGCCTGGTGCCTGCTGCCCGGTGTGTGCGGGCGCCTGAGCCCCCTGCGGACTGGCCCCGGGGTGAGATCCCAGCTCCTGGTGACACTCAGAGGCCTGAGGCCCGACGGGGTGGCAGGGAGGCCAGGGAGGCACCGTGAAAGGAGGCGGCACGGTGAGGGGTGTGGGGCGGGTGAGCTGTCATCTGGGGTGTGTCCTCGGAGGGACCGAGGCTCGTCAGGGCTGCCAGAGGGCCCGCCTCGGTCTGACCCAAACCACCGGCTCGCCCTCCGTGGGTGGGCCTCGTGAGCCACTGGTTCGCTGCGATAGGAGCCATGCAGTCCAGGTGCGAGGGCTCCTCGCTGGAGTCTGTTGGCTCCGTGGCTCTGAGCGCCCCCTGAAGGCGTGTGGCTCTCGTTCACCTGCCCGTCTCCCAGCCCCCAGCTCCTCAGCCCCAGGCTCCGGGTCCAGGAGCCTCCGAGGAGCCACGGCTGGTGTGCAATGAGCTCCGGGACGAAGGGCTCTCTTCCAATTTCATAAACTAGTATTTTAGTAACAAACCTGCCTCATTCACATGTGCATGCATCTGATTATTAAACCTCCCTAGGACTTCCCAGACAGATAGATTCACGAATGAACAAAATATTGATATATGTGTTTCTGTCAAAACCTGCGTTTCATTTTTGGTTCAGAGACGCAGTGGCCGCTGTGGGGCTGCCTCGGGGCGGAGGGTCCCGGCTGCAGACCAGGTCCAGCGGGGGTGGCGTCCGGCCCCCCACACGCGGCCCTTGGCCCTCGGTGCCCCTGACACCTCATCTCATGTCCACTGCCTGGCGTTGTTTCCCGGGGGACCCCCATGCCGGGGCTGTGAGGCCGGGCTGCCTACCGGGGTCACCTGGCCTCTTGTTTCTCTCCGTCACTCCCCCCTCCTCAGGGTGCAGGCTTTTGCTCGATGACGTCATCATTCTGCTCACCTGGGGGAGCACATGATCGGACCCCAGCCAACCTGGGCCCTCGAACCTCCCTCTCCAGAGGTCAGAGGTGAGTTAGTCCCGTCTCCTTGGGGCCGACCTGCTCCTGGGCTTTTGGTGGATCAGGTGACGGTACCTCCAGGTGACTCCGCTCAGCCCGGCCCCTGAGCCACTCAGCGCTGACCTCGGTCTTACCGGAAGGAGGATTAGAAAGAAAGCCGCTTAGTTTTGGTAGCTTTGTGACAATGGCGTAAAACGCAGAATAACGAACTGTAAATGCGCCTAATTACATAAATAATGCATTTGTGTAATTGTCAAGTAAGGGGTGTGCTAATGAATCAATTATTTTTAATTGTCGGATGCTTGATTGTTTCAGAAATATAATTGATTGTAATCAAGGATCAATTGGATGTTGATAGTAATTATGTTTATCAGGCTTAAATACACGACACCCGTGCACGTCGCTGCCTCAGGAAGGAACCAGGAGGTCACGGCCGGAAGGGACTTGCTCACGTTCACGCCTCGGACCTTCCCTTCTCACCAGAGAACATCCTGAGTGCGGGCGGGGCCCGCCCGGCCGGCTGGACCGGAGGGCAGGCGAGTGTTTATTTTGTGATGAAAGTGAATGAGGCTCAGCGTCAGAAAGGCCGCTCTGACCTTCAGTGAGGGAAATACCGTCTCTCCCCCAGGAGGCCACCTCTTCTGTTCTCTCCCCACACCTCACCCGTGATCTCACAGCGGGGGCACGTGCCTCCACCTTGTACTTGATAAATAACCCGAGGCTGGTGAGAAACGCAGGTGCCGCGGGAGGGAAGGAAATGAGCAAGGAGGATGCCCTCAGGAGAATTCTCACCCCGAACCCGGACCCTGCCTCAGAGTCCGGGGGAATCTGGCCACGTGGAGCGTTGGTGCTCCGTGCAGGGATGACGGGTGAGCAGGCCCCCCGCCTTCGCCCCGAGGCTGAACCGCGCCTTCATCCCCGTCTTCCTGTCCCCGCTAATGGGGGCTCCGGCCCTGCCTCCTCTGTGGCCGCTCTGACCTCTGTGCCTGCCATACCTGCCCCGCCCCTGGCCTGGCTCTGGGCCCCGTGTTCCGGAGGCTGCGGGCTCTATGCGGTCCCAGATCCAGGCGGGAGGTGACGTAGCGGCATTCTCGGGTCCGCCACACCTTCCGGAGAGTTCCTTGGAGCCTGAGAAGTGATTCCTAAAGCCGCCCTGCCTGGAAGGGCCCCAGGGGCTGTGCAAGATTGAAAAACCAGTTAACTGCAGTGCGTGGTGACCACGGGCATCTGTAGTGCCACAGCTTGTGGAGTCCGTGGTGGGGTCTGCCATGGTCTCTGCGTGGACACTCGAGTCAGGGCTCCAGGGGGATGGGCAGAGCGGGTGTTAGTCTCTGAAGAAGCTACCCTTCCACATGCTCCAGCCCAGGCTCTCGGAGTGTGGCTGGGCCAGAGCCTTGCAGAGAGTGGAGACCTGCCACTCAACCTGCTGCACACCTGTCACCTGTCACACACCTGCTGCACTTTTTTTTTTTTTTTTTTTTTTTTTTTTTTTTTTTTTTTTTTTTTTTTTAAATGACACAAGCAATGCTCAGATTTATCTTTTTTTTTTTTTTAATATATTTTATTGATTTTGTACAGAGAGGAAGGGAGAGAGATAGAGAGTCAGAAACATCGATGAGAGAGAGTCATCGATCAGCTGCCTCTTGCACACCCCCTACTGGGGATATGCCCGCAACCAAGGTACATGCCCTTGACCGGAATCGAACCCGGGACCCTTCAGTCCCCAAGCCGACGCTCTATCCATTGAGCCAAACCGGTCCCGGCCCTGCTGCACTTTTGTCACCTATCACTCATCTGTCACACACCTGTCACTCACCTGCCACTCACCTGCACACCTGCCACACACCTGTCACTCACCTGTCACCTGACACACAACTGTCACTCACCTGTCACTCACCTGCCACTCACCATTCACCTGTCCCACCTGTCACTCACCTGTCACCTGACACACAACTGTCGCTCACCTGTCCCTCACCTGCCACACACCTGCCACACCGTCTGGAGCTGTGTCTCAGCTGTGAGGACGGTCACTCTGAGACTCGATTCAGGTTTGAGGCGACAGTGATGGTGGTCAGCACGTGTCCACGCATGTCGTAGCCGTGGGAGGCAAGGTGTCCAGAGGCAGCGGTGTGTGGACAGTGCACGACGCTGCACACGCCTGCTCTTCCTCCTCTGCGGAGCCGCCCTGCCCCACGGCCCCGTGGGCGTCCGCTGGGCAGTCACGTGCCTGGGTGTCGGCTCCCGTTCGGTCCGGGTGGGCTGGCAGGGAGACTCGGGACGGGAGAGGCCTCTCCCTGCCAGGATCCCACAGAGGAGCGGGAGGAACACACGCTCTGCTAAACGGATGTTCAAATGGATGCTCATGGCGGAAGCTAAATACTGGAATTCCTGTCCCAGTTCCAAATGGAGTAAATAAGAGTAAAAAGCATAAATCGACCTATAAACCAGGATGACCCGGTTTGATTCCCGGTCAGGGCACTTGCCCGGCTTTCGGGATTGATCCCCAGTGAGTGGTGTGCAGAGACAGTTGACTGATGCTTCTCTCTCATCTTTGATGTCTCTCTCTCTCCCTCTCCCTTCCTCTCTGAAATCAATAGAAATCTATTTTAAAAAAATATTTTATTGATCTTTTTTTTACAGAGAGGAAGGGAGAGGGATAGAGAGTTAGAAACATCGATGAGAGAGCATCATTGATCAGCTGCCTCTTGCACACCCCCTACTGGGGATGCGCCGGCAACCAAGGCACATGCCCTTGACCAGAATCGAACCCAGGACCTTTCAGTCCATAGGCAGACACTCTACCCACTGAGCCACACCGGTTTCGGCCTCACTCGTTACTTCTACAAGTGCCCCACCCCCCCCTGAAGTTACGAAGGAATGAAGCCGACTCCAGAAAATATCGGCACCACCTTTGGGGGGAGCGTGCTGTGGGGTGCACAGGCTGTGTGTCCAGGAGGACCACGGGCGATGGCGGACAGCCCATGTCTGCACATGTTCTGAACCCTCGGCCTCCAGGAGCCAGTGAGGATCTGAGGACAGAGCACACTAGAACCCGAGGGCGGGAGGGAGCGCTGCAGAGGAAACAACAAAACCAGAGCTGTTCCCTCCTCGACAGCAGATGGGGAGACCGTGTTTCAGCCATAGCGTTTTTTAAATACTCACTTTTATTGATGTCAGAGAGGAATGGGGAGGGAGAGAGGGGAAGGGAGAGGGAGAGGGAGAGAGAGAGAGGAACATCATGATGAGAGAGAACCATGGTTGGCTGCCTCCTGCACGCCCCCCACTGGGGATGGAGCCCGCAGCCCGGCCTGTGCCCTGTGAGGAAGATGGACAGGTGTGCACGTCAGGAATATGAAGGTCAGCATCGGACACTCCACACACAGGCTGGAGGTCGAGGGGAGAGAGGACACAGCTTCCCCCCCCACACACACACACGTGTTCTACATGTGAGGTTTCAGTTCTGCGGGCCAGTTAACAGCACGGGGCCCACAGGCACCGAGAAGGCGTGTGGACCTCAGCAGAACGTGGCCCCAGCACTGCCCCCGCCCCCCCACCCCCCACCCCCGCCGAGGCCACGCCCTGATGCCTGTTTGGGCTCCTCGGCACCCCTGGGACCTGGGGAGGGTGGGAGGGCTGTGGCAGCCTCCGTCTGGGAATTGGCTGATACCGTGACGCCATTTCCCGCTTAGCTCTGAAGACTGGGTCAGAGCACAGCTCAGGACTGGCCTTCGTCCTTTCTTCACCCCCATCTGTAATCCTGTTTGTCATCAAACCCCCTGCGACTCCCCAGCCCCTGGCCCGGCCGCTGTCTCCCCCGCGGGCATTGGCGAGCACGGCCAGCCGTGGACCTGGGCAGCGGAGGGAGGGAGCCAGCGGAGCAGCCCCTGCAGACGCCAGCAGGCCGTCCATCCGTCTCCCGCCTCCGGGGCACCGGCACATGAATATTTCAGGGCTTCGGGC